ACAAAACCCATATAGTTCTACAACTATTAAAGAAATTGAATTTGTAGTTAAAAACTTTTCAATAAAGAAAACTCCCTGCTCATATATTTTACTGCAAAATTCTAGAAAACATTTAAGGAAGAAACAATCACAATTCCATACAATCTTTTTCTGAATATATAAGAGAAGGAAATACTTCCCATGCATCTTATGAAGCTAGCATTACCCTAATACCAAAACCAGATAACAACATTATAATGAAAGAAAAATAAAGACCAGGCTGGGTGCAGTGGGTCCTGCCTGTAATTCTGGCACTTTGGGAGGCTGAGGCAGGCAGATCACTTGAGGCCCATAGTTTGAGACCAGTCTGGCCAACATGGTGAAACATTTTCCCTACTAAAAATACAAAAATTAGCAGAGTTTGGTGGTGCATGCCTATAGTCCCAGCTACTTTTGAGGCTGAAGCAGAAGAATTGCTTGAGGCCAGGAGGCGGAGGTTGTACTGAGCTGAGATCATACCATGGCACTCCAGCCTGGGTGACAGAGTAAGACTCTTTTTCCAAAAAAAAAAAAAAAAAGAAAGCAAAAGAAAGACCAATATCCCCCACAAACATAGACACAAAATACTCAACAAATTATTAGAAAATTGGGTCTAGAAATTAAAAAAAAAAAAGGAAAAAACAATATTAAGTGGATCTTATCCCAATAATGTAAGGTTGGTTCAATTTGTGAAAACTCAACCAATGTAATTTACCAATTAGCAAACTAAAGAAAAAAACCATCATTATCTCAATAGCATTTGACAAGTTCAAATCTCTTTCCAATAAAAACTCTCAGCAGACTAGGAATGAAATGAAATTGCCTGGATATAATAAAAGACAACTATAAAAACCTATGATTAACATTATACTTAATGGAAAGAAGATAAGGACATCCTTCTTTCACCACTGCTATTCAATAATATAAAAGTCTTAGCCAAGAAAAATAAAGTCATTCAGATTGAAAGGGGAAAATAATTCTACTTGCAGATGACAGAATTGTTTATGTAAAAAAAATCCCAAATAATACACACAAAAAAAGTCCTAAAGCTAGTCTTAAAACTAGTAAGGGAGTTTAGCAAGGTCATAGGATAAGAGATCAAAATACAAAAGTCAATTATATTTCTATATACTAGCAACAAACAATAGATTTGAAATTTTTAAAAAACTATTAACAAAAAATGGAAAACTTAGATACAAATCTAACAAAAATATATATTATCTATGTGTTGAAAACTATGAGACACTAAAGAAATAAAAGAAGACCTTAGATATGTGGAGAGATACATTATCTTTGTTTGGATGAAAAATATATGGTCACATTATCTACACAGGTAACAAAAGACACTTTTTTGTGTGTACTCCCAGTGCTTATTTATACAAACATAAAATTCTTATCACCCCTGTTGTCACACAATACCTTACTTGTTCAACTTAATATATATCCTATGGAATTTCCCGTATAAGTACATAGAAATTTTCCTTATTAAAAAAAAAAAATTGGCTGGGCACGGTGGATCACGCCTGTAATCCCAGCACTTTGGGAGGTTGAGGCAAGCGGATCACGAGATCAAGAGATCGAGACCATCCTGGCCAACATGATGAAACCCCATCTCTACCAAAAACACAAAAATTAGCCGGGTGTGGTGGCATGTGCCTGTAGTCCCAGCTACTCTTGAGGCTGAGGCAGGAGAAGCACTTGGCAGTAGGAGATGGGTCTAACCAAAATGCACAGGCTTTGAAGTGAGACAGAGCCAACTTCAAATAACCATTCTGTCACTTATTGGTTGTATGGCCCTTAGGCAAGTTACTTAACTTCCCCTAGTGTCAGTTACCTCATCAGTAAAATGAGAATGTAACTACTACACCACAGGTTATAGTCAGAATCATGTGTGATAATATGAGAAAGTACAAAAGAATACTTTAATCTTAGGAAATGTAAAATAGAGCTGCAGCAACTCATCACAGCCTTGACCTTATTCATAAGTTTGGTTAATGGAACAAAGTGAGACTCTACCTGACTATAAAATTGCGTTGGAGCTAAGTGACAGAGACCTTGTAAGAAACACTGTTGCCCTTGGCCACTTCAATTAACAGAATTATTTTCTCAGCCTTGGGTTGATTCACCAGTTCATTAAAAAGCCAGAGACTCTTTCAAATCCTAGTCTCTACACCCAGAACCAATACTTCACCAAAATATCTGGATTGCCCATGTAAGGTAAGGAACCAGTTTGCGAATTTGCTATTCTTAATTTTTTATTGTACCAACAAGATATGAAAACTTTGGGTTGTTTTGTTTACATTTCTTTGTCCACAGAATACATTTCCAACTCCAAGGGGAAGTAGTTGCAGGTGACTTTACTGCCATTTGTGTAACTACAGTGGCCAATCAGCAGCAGCATATATTCTATTTGTAGGCCTTTTCCTGGCCTACAAGTAGAGAATGAAACACAGCCTCTACTGGTAGAGGCATTCAAAATTTATTCATTCACTCACCTCACAAAAACTTTCCAAACCCCTACTGTGTGTCAGGGATTGTACTTGGTGTTGACAATAAAAAACAAAATTCCTGTCCTTAAGTAGCTTACAGTTCAGCTAAGGGGAAATAAGATACATTGACAGTTACAAAGTGCTTTGGGAGGGAACAGAATGGCTTTACAGAAGAGCCTAAGTTTCTGTTGAGCTTGAGAGACTGATGAGAGGAAGGCAATGCCCGGCAGAGTGAGCATAACTTGCACCCACAAAGACATTCTACGCTAGCAGGCTTGAATTCAGAGTTCCACTGGGGCACTAGGGGCAGAGTAGGCTGGAGGATTTGGCTGAAGCTATCAGCAGTTTGGTCTGCATTCTGCTCAATGGAAAACTTTAAGTTCAATGGAGAAACCATTAAATGCTTTAAAGCAATGGTGGGAGGTAATCAGATTTATTTGTTTTTGAAAGATCTTCTGGTAGTCCTATGAAAGATACTTTCGGGAAAGGGTAACAGAAAACCAGTTAGGAGGGTATTGTAGTGAAAGAGAATGTGGTCCTCATGGAATATCTAGGATTTCCATGAATGAAATTATCTTGTTTGGTAAATGGGGTACTGTCTGAGAATTATTTATCAACTGAAAATCAAGAGGGAAATCAGCAAGAAAATCGATGTGTTCAGCATTATTTCAGTCAAAATCCTAGCAGAATTTTTGTAGGTATCAACAAGTTGATTCAAAAGATTGGGGAGAAAGGTAAAGCAACCAGAAAGTTAAAGAAACAGCCAAGCAAATTTGAAAAAGGACAAAGTTGGAATATTGTACTCCCCGATTTCAAGTTTATTGAAGACTTCAGATCCTTTTCTCTAACTTTGTAATTGCTTAGGTTCTTATACGGTTTGCCAGATGGTGGATAGGGGAAAGCAAATGAAAAACACTAATCAGTTTGGTTCCTTGACTGCTGCTTAATATGGAGATTTGAGGAGGTGAAAACTCTCATTACACAGAAGCACGTGGATATTTTTGGAATGCATGCATGTATCACTTGTCTCTTAATTCCACTATAAATCAGAGGTCATTGTAAGATAAAACATACATAAGGAAAATAATTGACTCTTTGCACGGAGGCTTTAAAATACATTTCCATTTCCTATTAAAAGCTTTATTTGGTCTCTTCCTCTGAATAATCTATGTAGTACTCATTTCTCCTTCAACGGATCGGCTCACAGCTTGATGAATGTGGCTGTGGTTTGATGGGCAGTCTCTCCATCTCACGTTGAGGCTCCGCTATGGAAAGAATTAGAATAGCAAGATCAATAGTCAGGCTAAGTAAATGATATCTCATCTCAGATCTGATTGCGTGTGGGAGAGCTGAAGTGATTCTTGGCTGCACCCTCAGGGAAAGGAGAGAATTGCATTTTAATTGCACTGGCAGGGATAACAGGTGTTCTGTCCAGCTACCCAAACGCAAAGCCGCCTCATCTTTGCATTACGGAAGGCTTTCCCTTAAGTGAGAATTCACATTCTTAAAGCAAAACAACTCAGAAGCGCCGGCATGTCGATGCACGCCTGTAATTCTAGCAGTTTGGGAGGCCGAGGTGGGCGGATCGCTTGAACCCAGGGGTTCGAGACCAGCCTGAGCAATACGGTGATAACCCCGTCTCCACGAAAAAGTACCAAAATTAGCCAGGCGTAGTGACGCGCCCCTGTGGCCCAGCTACTGGGGAGGCTGAGATGAGAGGATCGCTTGAGTTCGGGAAATCGAGGCGGCAGTGAGTCAAGATACACCACTGTAATCCAGCCTGGGCGACAGAGCAAGACGCTATCTCAAAAAAGCAAACCACCATAAAAAGGAAGGGTAGTTCATGCTCTTTTTCGTTTCATAGCTACAGATTTACAAATACCTATTAACTCGTCGACAGGGCAAGAAATAATTTATGCTGAAGAGACAAAAGACCAGAAAGCAGATTTCTGTGTTTTACCCTCCATGTGGTCATCATGGACGAGGACGAAGAAGGACTTGGTTTCTCCTGTAACGAGAATGTTTAAGCACTAAATTTTTAACCAATTTTTGTGCTTGTTAACAAAATCTGTTATTTTCCTATCGTTCGGAAATGACTTGATCCTTTAGTCCTCCTACATGTAAAAACGCTGTGTAGACTTGGACTCTGCCGCAGGGTATGTGTTTACCAAGATTAGCCGAACACCGCAAGTTCAGCAGGCAGAGATAAGTCACTGTGAGGTGTATAGCTCAGGACCTCCCGGAGGGCAGCGGCCGGAAACTACATATCCCGGCGTGCGCCGCTCGCGAGCACAATGGAGCCTGTCGTCATTCGGTTCACGGCGCTGCGCGTTCCCTGCGCGCCGCCGGATGCCGGCGTGGGTGCAGCCCAGGGCAGAGGGCCTTCCTGGGCCGGGAAAACTGCAGTTCCCGGCATGCTCTGCCACGGGTGCGCCTGCGTATGGGAGCTACTGAGCCTAGGAGCGGGTTGGTTTAAAACGCTGTGTTAGTTCCCTGGAAACCCGCCAGCCTGCAGCAGTACAGAGCCTCAGGCGCACAGATGGACTGTGGGGTGAGGCTGCCTGGCCCTGGGCGGGTAAGCGGCGGTCGGAGACCCGTGGGGGAGAGGCGTCGGCTTAGATAGTGACAGGCACGGCTCCCTGCCCCCCTTTTCCTGTCCTGACGGAGTCCAGTTTCGCTCCTTGGACCTCAGGGCCCTGACCTAAGGAGCTTCGGCGTTGGATGCAGGTGAAAGCCATTTAGGAGCGAAGTTTGCATTGGCCTGGCTCCAGCTGAGGGGTGGGAGATAGCCACCGAGTTCTCCAGATACGCCCAATACCACCTTTATTTATATGTTAAGTTGGAGGTTAATCGGTTCCTGAGAAGGCTATTTCGGCGTTAATGTTTGATTTTTTTTGCCATTAGTTATCCTCCCTGGCTTGCTTACCAGAATATAGGTGTCAGGAATTTGCGCTTGTTGTTTACGGTTTCCGCAGTACCTGGCGCTTTTGCTAGAACGGAATAGACATTCGTTAAATTCCTGTCCAAGCATCTCCTGTTTATTTACCTCCCATAATTTCCCAGGCACTGTGCTAGGCTCTAAAGGTAGAAAAATATCTATCTTGACCCCACTTTGGAGAAGTTTGTATTAATCCGTCGTAAACGCCCCCCACACGTGCTTCGAATTTGTTAATCTTGGCGTGCTCGGGAGTAGGTCCTTTAATCCTTTCTGTTCTCTGTTATCCCGCCTTAAGGTTTTATTGAGCTCTTAAGAATTTATATCTCCATTCCACACCTCATCCTCAAACTTCAGATCCACAAATTCAGTCGTGTATTGGGTATCTTTCATGCTTTAAATTTGACAATTTATAAACTACTCTCTTATCTTTTCCACAAAACAGGTTCTTCCTTAGTAAGTTTCCATTGTCTCAATGATACCACCATCCAGGCCAAAAAACTTATTTTAATCTTGGCTTGTTCCTTTCCCTCATATCTCATATCTAATCCATCAGCAAAAGCTATCTTTCAAGTACATCTAGCCACTAACCACTTCTTAAAATAGGAATACCACTGCTGTCACCCTGGTTCTGGCCAGCAGCATCTCTGCTTCTCTTCTTCCACCATGTGGAGTGGAAGGGAGTCAAAGTGATCTAGTTAAAAGGAAAGTTAGACAGCACTCTTCAGCTAGAGACCTCCGGTGGCCCTGAGAATCACTGAGAGCAAAAGCCAGACTTTTACAATGACCTTCAAGGCCCTGTGTATTCTCTTTTTATTGTTACCTTCTGACCTCATCTCTTCATATTCTCTGTGTTACTCCTTCCTCTCCAGCCAAACCCACCTCTTTATTGTGTGTGGATTCATCAGACCTTCTAACTTCAGGCCTTTGCACTTGCTGTTTGCATCTTCTGGAACTTTCTGTACTCTGATATCTATATAGCAGGTCTTTGCTCAAATGTCATGCGGCTTTCTTAGACAGCCCTGTTTAAAATGAAAACCTACCCTGCAGCCTCCATCCCGTGCTCTTTCCTATTTCATTTTTCTCTTTTGCACTTATCACAAACAAACTATGTATTTTATTTACTGTCCGTCGTCTTCAACTGGAATATAAGCTCCATGAAAGCAGGGAGTTTTGTTGGCACTGCTCGACCCCGCCCCTCATCCCTCCCCATTGCCTATAATAGTATCTGGTTCATGGTAAATGTTGAGGAAATATTTGTTAGATGTGTGAGTGAATGAAGACATTGTTACCAAATTATTTTCCGGTGGTTGTGATAAACAACACTGATTCCCTGGACTGTTATTTTGGAACCAACTGCATATACTTGTATATGCTTTTGCCAGTGTGCACCTATTGCCAGGTGTAGGAATGGAGTCTGTGTCCACAGAAGCAAGTGTTTTCAAAGTCATCTGGCTTATCCTAGTATTTTACTTGTGACATTGGTCTCTTTTTTTGGCCATGCTTTCCATAAGGTTACCTGCCTAGAAGCTCTTTGGAAATATTCTCCCTAAATATTAAGACAGAATTCTGTTAGTTTGATTTTGATATTGCATAGAAATTAGTTATGAATGAACTTTTTTAAAAATAAGTTTTTATCTTAGTTTTTTTTAGTACTGTTACTATTAAGCATTCATCGGACTGAGGTTCAAGGCAGCAGTCAATATTTGCTTCTTTTGAAACACAACAAAGCACAGATTTGTTAAAGCTGTTGTCTCTGCTAGAATGTCAGCCATTAGAGGTAGTTTCTTTTCATGTAAGACCGTGCTTCTTAGATTATGAGCTATAGAACTGTGACTTATGAGGATCTGCCAAGTGGCCAACAGAGAGAGAGAGAGAGAGAGAGAGACAGAGAGAGTGTGTGTATGTATGTATGTATGTGTATATATATGTGTGTGTGTGTGTGTGTGTGTGTGTGTGTGTGTGTGTATGTATGTATGTATGGGGATGGGTGGAATTTCTGCTATTCCTGTTTTGGGCCTACCAGATGGGGAGGACAGGCAAGGGTGTGAGTAACTGCAGTGAAAATGAGAATCTCTTCCAAATTTTAAGCCCCAACTTGGTAGATTCATTTACTGGATTGAAGTTCTTATCTCTACTTTAACAGCCTCCCAGATACTTGGGGACTCTGCCTGGTGGCTTTAAGGCTGTCCTCTTGCTACTCAGTCATCACTGCTCCCTTGCTTCCAGGGACTCTCCTGACCTTGGCACTGTTTAGTTTTTGTTTTTGTTTTTTTCCTGTGGTAGCGGGTGGAGGTGGTGGTTGGGAGGAAAGGTTTTCAGCTAACCCTGAGACTTGTTTTTTGGTTTTTTTGGTTTGTTTGTTTTGGTTTTTTTTTTTTTTTGAGACTGAGTCTCGCACTGTTGCTGGGGCTGGAGTGCAATGGCGTGATCTTGGCTCACTGCAACCTCTGCCTCCTGGGTTCAAGTGATTCTCCTGTTTCAGTCTCCTGAGTAGCTGGGATTACAAGTGACCACCACTATGCCTGGCTAATTTTTTGTATTTTTAATGAAGATAGTGTTTCACTATGTTGGCTGGGCTGGTCTCGAGCTCCTGACCTCGTGATCTGCCCGCCTCGGCCTTACAAAGTGCTGGGATTATAGGCTTGAGCCACCGAACCCAGCCAGATTTGTTTTATTTTTATTTTTTTAGAGACAAGGTCTTACTTTGTCACCCAGGCTGGAGTGCAGTGGCACACTTATAGCTCATTGTAGCGAGAAACTCAGTCTTTCCATAGCCCCCACCATGTTTCTTGTTCCCTTTACTCCTGCCACCAGTCCTCCAGTTTGTGAATTCCTGCCGTGGGTCCTGGGACCACCTTCAGCAACTTGAACATGAGGTGGACCCCCCTTTCACTTCCAGGAAGGTGAGGGTAAGGGAGATACCTGATTATATAGCAAACGGGTAGAAAGGTATACTCCTGATGTCCCTGATTGGCCCCTTGTGAACACATTCCCATAGGAACACTAATGCTAGAGATGGCTAAGATTTATAGCATGATTGGTATAGAAATGTCTGTACAGGATGGAGTTGCAAGAAAATGTTTTTAAAGTTTTCACCAATTACCTTGTCATTGAACATGGTTCATTTATACATTGGGACCACGTATAAACTAATTCTGCTTCTGTCACTAATGTCTTGAAAGAGTATTCTCACTATTCTTATTTATTTTCATTGGGTTTTGGGGAAGGATCTGTGGAAATTTGATGTCAATAGCCGTAGAAAGGTCTTTGCTCAGACCTGGAACCAACCCAAATGCCCAGTGATGATAGACTGGACAGGGAAAATGTGGCACATATACACCATGGAATATTATGCAGCCATCAAAAATGATGAGTTCGTGTCCTTTGTAGGGACATGGATGAACCTGGAAATCATCATTCTGAGCAAACTGACATAAGAGCAGAAAATCAAACACCGCGTGTTCTCACTCATAGGCGGGTGTTTAACAATGAGAACACATGGGCACAGGGAGGGGAGCACTACACACTGGGGTCTGTTGCGGGAAATTAGAGGAGGGACAGCGGGGGGTGGGGAGTTGGGGAGAGATAGCATGGGGAGAAATGCCAGATATAGGTGATGGGGAAGAAGGTAGCAAATCACACTGCCGTCTGTGTACTTACGCAACAATCTTGCATGTTCATCACATGTACCCCAAAACCTAAAATGCAATTTAATTAAAAAAAAATTAGCCAGGAAAATAAAAAAAGTCTTTGCTCATGCTTTAAGTTAAAGTTACATATTATTTTCTAAAATTGCTGCTTCAATTTAGTATATATAGTATATATAGTTGGCAGATCATTTATTTTATGACAGCTGTACAGAAGTCCAAGTGTATGTTTTTCCAGAAGGTTGGATGGTAACAATATTATGATGAAAATGGCTAGTAACAAAAGCCATTCCCTCAGCAAGTCCTAGGTCCTTGTGTGTGACTAATAGTGACAAATAAGATAGGCTAAATTATGAAATAAACTATTCAACAATCGTAGCAGCTTACAACAACATAGGTGTATTGTATGTCAGGATATCTACTCTGTATATCATGAATGGGTTGTGGGTCTGTTTGATGTCATTGTCACCTTGGGACCCTAGTGCATGGAGAAAGTCCTACCGTGAATGTTTCTCTTCTCATAGAGGAGGGGAAAGAGAGAGATGGTGAACAAGCTGGCTCTTCTAACTTCCACCTACATTTAATTGGCCAAAGCAGGAAACATGACCATTCCTGAGTTCAACAGGACAGTGATACATAATCCTAACACAGGAATGGCAGTGATTATTTTTGAGCAATAATAGGACATACAACACTAATATTGTGTCTGTATTCTTAGGTACATATGGAAACTACAGTGTCCAGACCTGTCCTTTCTCCAACCCACATCAATGCCACAGCTTCTGAAACATTCACTGTACTTCAGCAGAGGATGAGAATAGTTGAGGAACAAACCAGCTCACTGAGGGATGACCTAATAATGTTGGACTTTCGTGAAGAAAGGTAACAAAGAAAAATGAACTAGATCTCTGTAGGTTGAAGAATTTTGCTTCATTGCCTATTAAGTCACAGTAGTTTGGCAGATGAGAGGGATATTTGCAAAACAACTGAGAAATAATTTTCATTTGAGCATTACTTAGAAAACATTTGCGAAATGAAGAGTTGTCATTCTGTGATCGAGCTAGAGCTACTATCACTTTTCCCCTAAACAGATATTTAAAGTGTGTTAATTCAGTGTACAAACTTTGGTATTCTGTTCACTTGACTAAAAACAAATATGTAATTTTTCATGTAATAAATGATTCATTCTTGTTTTAAAATAAAAAGACATATTAAGGTTAAAAGCTAAAATGTTGCTTCATGACATTAATTTGGTCATTTTCTTCTCCCGTATTGTAAATTAAAAGAGGTTTTTGAAGTCTTTAAAAATTTTATGATTTAGAATGAGATAAAAAAATTGTTTTCACCCTAGTGCTTCTAAACAAGTTATTAAAAGTTGGATTATCAATGGCTTGCAGAATCTGTGGGCTTAAGCAGCCAATTTAGAATTTACTGGTGTGATTTTTTTTTTTTAATTATGTATATATTTCCTGAGTGTCTCTCATTCAGGAAAGATAAGAAATTAGTATAGTTGGTATTCTAGCACCCATGGAATAACTCTTTAGCAGTTAAATATTAAATTTGGTACAAATGTTGAGTATGTTGGTAACACAATAGGAATATTTATTATGACTTCATTAAAAAGTCAGTGGCCCTCATTTATTCCACATTGGTCTGATGTTTACCTAATAGCAATCTCTATATTTAAATTTGGAGTGGTTAATAAATGCTCGTTAATGAAAGAATCCATTCTTTTTTCTTTTTGTATATTTTTAATTGGTAAATAATTGTACATATTTATGGGGTAAAATGTGATTTTATGATACATGGATGCATTGTAGAATGATTGAATCAGGCTAATTAACATATCCATCACCTCACATACTGTATTTGTGGTAAAGAGATTTAAAATTACTCTTAACAATTTTGAAATATGCAATACATTATTATTAATTATAGTCCATGTACTTTGCAGTGGATTGCTAGAACTTATATCCTCTTAAACTGGAGCTTTGTATTCTGATGAATAATCTCTTCTTTCCCTGCCCACCTCCTCACTTCCACCCAGCCTCTGATAACTGCTGTTCTACAGCCTTTACCATTCTACCTCTATGAGTTTGACTTTTTAAGATTTATGTATAAGCAAAATTATGCATATTTGTTTTTTCATGCCTGGTTTATTTCACTTAGCATAATGTCTTCCGAATTCATCCATGTTGTCACAAATGACAAAACTTTCTCATTTTGTAAGGCAGAGTAGTTTTTCATTGTTTATAGATGCAGGGTACCACATTTTCTTCATCCATTCATCTGTTGATGGGGATTTATGTTGTGTCTATACCTTGGCTATTGTGAATAGTGTTACAGTCAACATGGGAGTGCAGATATCCCTTTAACATACTGGTTTCAGTTCCTTAGGATATGTACCCAGAAGTGGGATTACTGGATCATATGGCAGTTCTGCTTTTAGTTTTTTGAGGAACCTCCATACTGTTTTCCAAAATGGTTATACTAATTTATGTTCCCATCAACTATGTACAACTATGTACAGTTCCCTTTTCTCAATACCCTTGCCAGCTTGTTATCTTTTATCTTTTTGATAATAGCCATTCTAACAGATGTGAAGTTTTCTGGTCATGTTTTTAATTTGTGTTTCCCTAATGATTTGTGAAGTTGAATTTTTTTTTTCATATATCTATTGGCCATTTGTATGTCTTCATTTGAGAAATGTCTATTCTGGTTTTTTGCCCATTTTTAAAAATAAACTTATTTTCTTGTTATTGAGTAGTTTGAGTTTTTGTATATTTTGAATATTAGCCCTTTATCAGATGTATGATTTGCAGATATCTTCTAAACTGTGAGTTGTCTGTTCACTCTGTAATTGTTTCCATTGCTGTGCAGAAGCCTTTTAGTCGGATCCATTCCTATTTGTCTGTTTTTGCTTTTTTTGCCTGTGCTTTGCGAGTCATATCCGAGAAATTATTGCTGAGACCAATGTCAAAGAGGTTTTCCCTTATGTTTTCTTCTAGTAGTTTTAGTTTCAGGTTTTATGTTTTACATCTGTCTTTAATCCATTTTTAGTTGATTCTGGTATATGGAGTGAAATAAGGGTCCAATTTCATTCTTCTATATGTGCATAGTTTTCCTAATACTTTATTGAAGAGACTGTCCTTTCCCCATTGTGTATTCTTGGCATCTTTGTTGAAAATCAATTGATCATAAATGCCTGAGTTTATTTCTGAGCTATTCTATTTCATTGGACAGTGAGTCTTTTTATGCTGCTACTATGCTCTTTTTATACTATATGTTTGTAATCTATTTGGAATTAGCTAATGTGATGCCTCCACCTTTGTTCTTTTTGCTCAAGATTGCTTTGGCTATTTCAGGGGTCTTTTGTGGCTCCATATGAATTTTCAGGTTTTTCTATTTCTATAAAGAATGACATTGGGATTTTAATAGTGATTGCACTGAATCTGTAGATGGCTTTGAGTAGTATGGACATTTTAACAGTACTCATTCTTCTAATCCATAAACCTGGGATGTCATTCTGTTTACAGTCATGTGGCATATAAGGACATTTCAGTCAGTGACAGACTTTATATTAGATGGTGGTCCCATAAGGTTGTAATGGAGCTGAAAAATTCCTATCGTCTGGTGATGTCATAGCCATGGAAGTGTTGCAGTGCAAGGCATCACCTTTTCTGTGTTTAGATATACAAATACTTACCATTGTGTTACACTTGCCTACAGTATTCAGTACAGTAACACACTATACTGGTTAATAGCCCAGGAGATATAGCCTAGGTATGGAATGGGCTATACCATCTATGTTTATGTAAATATACTCTGTAATGTTTGTACAACGACGAAATCGCCTTACAACACATATCTCAGAATGTATCCCTGTCATTACATAAGTGATTACTGTATTTATGTCATCCTTAATTTCTTTAATCAGTCTTTTAAGAGTTTTTATTGTATGGATCTTTCACCCCCTTGGTGAAACTTACTCCTGAGTATTTTTTTGATGTAATTGTAAATGGGATTACTTTCTCAATTTCTTTTTCAGATAGTTCATTGTTAGTGAATAGAAATGCTACTGATTTTTGTTTGCTGATTTTGTATTCTGAAACTTTACTGAATTAGTTTATTCTAATAGTTTTTTGGTGGAGTCTTTAGGGTTTTCTGTACATAAGATTTTGTATGTCTTCAGCAAAAAGAGAGAATTTCACTTCTTCCTTTCCTGTTTGGATGTCTTTTATTTCTTTTTCCTTTCTGATAGCTTTGGCTACGACTTACCACAGTATACTGAATAGAAGTGGTGAGAGTGGGCATCCTTATCTCAGTCCTGATCAGAAGCTTTCAAATTCTTACCATTGAGCATGATGTTACCTGTAGACTTAACACATCTGGTCTTTATTAGGTTGAGGTACATTCCTTCAATACCTAATTTGGTGAGAGTTTTTATTATGAAATGTTGAATTTTGTTAAATGCTTTCTCTGCATCTATTGAGATGATTATATAATTTTTATCCTTCATTCTGTTAATACAGTGGATCACATTTATTGATTTGTCCATGTTGAACTGTTGTTGCATCTCAGGGATAAATCTCATTTGATCATGGTGAATTATTCTTTTACTGTACTGTTGAAAATAGTTTGCTAGTGGGTTTTTTTTTTTTCTTTTGACAGAGTCTCACTCTGTCACCCAGGCTAGAGTGTAGTTATGCTACCTTGGCTCACTTCAGCCTCTGTCTCCCAGGTTCAAGTGAGTCTCCTGCCTCAGCCTCCTGAGTAGCTGGGATTACAAGCACATGCCACCATGCCTGGCTAATTTTTGTATTCTTAGTAGAGATGAGGTTTCACCATGTTGGTCAGGGTGGTCTTGAACTCCTCACCTCATGATCTGCCCTCCTTGGCCTCCCATAGTGCTGGGATTACAGATATGAGCCACCGTGCCCAGCTCCTAGTGTTTTATTGATGATTTTTGCATCTGTGTTGAGGGATATTGACCTGTAATTTTCTTTTCTTTTAGTGTCTTCGTCTGCCTTTAATTTCAGGGTCATGCTGGCCTTGTAAAATGAATTTGATGTATTCCCTTCTCTTCAATTTTTTGACAGTTTGTAAAGAATTGGTGTTAGTTCTTCATTAAATGTTTGATAGAAATCTACAGTGATGCCATCTGGTACTGGGTGTTTATTTGATAGGAGGAAACTTTTTATTACTGATTCAATCTTCTTACTCTTTATTGGTGTGTTCAGATTTTCAGTTTCTTTATTATTCAGTCTTGGTAGGTTACATGTTTCTAGGAATTTGTTCTTTTCTTCTAGGTTATCCAGTGTGTTCACAATTTGTTGTGTGGTTATTCTGAGATTACAAAAAACACAATAGGCCATTTTAAAGTAATAACAATTTAATTTTTACTACATATCCAAACTCCACACTTTCCCTCTCCCGGCTCCTACAATTTATGTTCTTAATGTCACAAATTACATATTTTTATAATGTGTATCCCTTAGCAAATTATTGTAGTTGTAGTTGTTTTCATTAGTTTTGTCTTTTAACCTTGATAGTAGAGATATAATTGATTAACACACTGCTATTACAGCATTAGAGTGATTTGAAGTTGACATTGCTTTTACTAATGATTTTTATGCTTTCACGTATTTTCTTTTGTTAATTATTGCCTTTTTCCTTCAGCTTGAATAAGTATTTAATTTTTTGCTTTTCTTGTAGTGTTGATAAACTTCTTCACCTTTTGTTTGTCTGGAAAAGTCTTTATTGCCTCTTCATTTTTGAAAGATAGGATTGTATTCATATTTTGAAAGATAGAGTATAGTATTCTTGGTTGACAGTTTTATTTTTCTTTTGGGATTTTGACTATATATTCTACTTTCTGCTTG